TTATTATAAAGATGCATTTGAAGGGTTAACTCGATTTTAATTTTTAGAAAAAATATTTTCCAGTTAGAATACTTTTGATAATCAAGGTAAATACTTGGTTGTCGATTGGTTTTGTACATACAATTTTGAGATGTTCATGCCACGAGATTGCGTGACCCGCAGTTGGAGAAACTACTACAGTTTGATTTAATAATTATTATTATTTTATTTGAGCATCGATCATTATGATTGATTTCTGAGTTAAAACTAAATGCATTTGCCATACTTTAAAGCTCTTATTATTTATCTAGAACTTTATATCAGCCTTTCTGCAGCGAACAAAAACGAAAGTAGCCCGTCACCGCAGCAGAAACATCCAAGTCTTTAATGAGTGCATTTCAGAATTTTGATTGTTGGATGCTCTCTTAAAGTTGATATTCAAAATGTTGTAATTAATTACATACAGAAAGACCAGTTCTTCACGACCAGCGTATTCATTAAGATTTTTGCGCTTAAATTTTAACATTAGGCATAAAATACACGCGAGTTTCCCGGAATTGGCGACTCCACTGTAATACAGTAGAGGATAAATATTCCTGACAGAGTGCTGTCAAAATTATAATAGGCAACACTGTTATTACCCTGGAAATTGTCTCAAAGCTATTTTTGTTTACAATCCTTTTGAATCAGAAGTATTACCAGGTATTTAGATTTTCTTCTGTATCGGAGATACAGGGCGGGGCTTGAGGCGAGAGCAATAGCTCGAGCCGGCCCCCCCCCCCCCCCCCCGTATATCTGATACAGTAGGAAATGAGTATTCTAAATGACTTGTGACATGTCCTTTCTTATGACCTCACTAATTAACATGCGTAATTGGGTACATATCACTCAACCAATCAGATGATTTTGCAGAAAGTTGATTTAGTATCCCATTTTAAGCATTCGCAACTGAAATGCCGAGTGAGGTGAACGTGCAGGTATTTATCATTTTAAAATAATTATTTAAGGGATGCATAATATAATTTGTTTTCAAAAAAAAAATTAAATTTCATTACGTATAGTGTTTTTTTCTCTATTCAGCTCTTGCTGACATTTTATTAAATTTAAGCCACGACTTAATTAATGCAAACCATTTTGATATATACGAATTGTGCAGGAATATTTTTGTAACAAAAATGCTTCGAAGAGAATGTAATCTGAGAGAAATGTCCGACAATGTCCTCCTTCGGTCTTCATATACGAAATTGAAATAAACAGATGAAAGGAAGGGGGCCCACCCATATTTAACTTCATGTTTTTAATAAAATGTAGTGTAACCAAATGGGATCCGAGCAATCACTGCCCCCCTCCCATCCCACCCTCCTTGATTTTTTTTTCTTTTTCGCAAATGATTTTTGGTAAACTTGTATACATATGCTTTTTAATTTATCAACAAGTAAGGCCTAAATTAAAATATTGTTTGTTTGCCCTTAGCCGACCGACCCGCGAAAATTAGCCCGACTCAAAATATTTTATTTCAATTTTCACCAAAATAATTTTTTTTATTTGATTCGTATTTTTATCCGTTTTCATCCGTTTAGCTTTTTTTAGATGCTTTGATTCTCCCTTTCCCCAATTGTATAAAGCGTGTTGATGATTGAGATTAGGAACTTCGTTAAATGTTAACAGCATGGCGGTATGTTTGACAGCATGGCGGTAAAAAGGAGTTTGTCTACCCTCAAGTCGCTTTCAGACGAGGATTGCTTCACCGTGTGTGCCTCTATAACCGCAACATATGCTTGCATTTCAAAACAGATTTGTATAAACAGACTTTTAGAGTACTATGATTAAACAACATCACCCATGTCGATCTTGCCAATGAATGTTCAGACTATCACGTGCACAAAACGGACGGAGTTACCGTTACTATTTCAGAAAAACTGAACAGTCCCGATTGTTTTCACCCAGATTTACAAGAGCCATTGCGGACTATTAAAAATTTTAACAATCTTTTAAAATATGTACGTTTCAAAGTAGAAAGGGACGAGAGTGTAGGATTAGGGTTAGATTTAAAGGATCAGCCCCAGGGAAAAAAAAGAACAGCATTCACTGAAATAATGGAGGCATCAACGAAGAGGAAACAGCCACCCCTAAAAGACCATAAAAGACTTTATCTAATATTAAGATGATAGTGACATGAACAGTAATTTTTTAAGAAAAAAAATGTAACTGCATGTCTATGTTTTCTCAAGTAGGGAATTTGTTTTCTCAATTCATTTTGAAGTTTTCATATTCAGACAGATGTTTAAATACTTGATTTCTTTTGTGTTCAACAAAGAATATTCAGTGTCAATTACTAAGGATGAGAGTACAGAATCTTAGTGCTGAATGAAGTTAGGTTCATTGCTAAGTGCAGTACTAGTTAGAATCTCCAGTATCTATAGTGCTTAGAGGGACTGGTTAGTGATCCATATGTTATAAGGCACTGTGACATCCACCATGAAGTTATGTTATAAACTAACTAGCATACTACAGAGGGTGGCTAAGGATCAGAAGGTGCATACACTACATAAAATAAGCTTTATATTAAAAGTAGGTGTAGGATGACATGCAAAGCAAGATATAATATATAGCTTACACCAGATTTTTTTTAGTACTACTAGTACATTTTGTTGTTCCATGAAGCATAAGATCTTAGACTAATAAAGAAGAATATGAACATGTTGATTTTTTTTTTATTTTAATAGTAATTTTATTAAAGTCAAAAAGAAAAATAATAAAATATTTTTCCTACCTACCTACCCATTGCTAAAAATCTGGGTCGGCTAAGGGCAAACAAAAAATATTTTAATTTAGGCCTAATGATATCACGCACATAGTGTCTTGGTTGGTTATAAATCTAAACCCACGAAATACGATTTCCACTAATTTTTTTTTTGAGGGGGGTCAAAGTAATCATTTGTGAACTGCCCCACTCTCCCTTTTCTCAAATTTTTTAATCCGACACTAATAAATTTACGTTGAAAATTTTTTTTTCTTGATTCACCTCAAATTTTTTGTAAATACTAACAGTGCTATCATGGGAATTGAATGATTTTGTGTGTATATATACAGATACAGCTTTCCGTCATGGCTAAAAATAAACCGTACTGTATTGTTGATATTTTGAAGATACTGTACAGTTTCTGCTCATTTGCATAAGAAACGCCCACAAAAAGTGTTCTGTATCGTAGTTACAGTATGCTTGACTTCAAAGGAAAACTCGCCGGGTCATGTCACAAGGGGAAATTAAGGGATCTATCTATACTTCAGGTGCCTGTGGTTTAAGATCGTTTCAAACATAGCATGTTTTATCAGTGGCGGATCCAGAAAGGAGTTTTCCACTTAAGTATAGTAGCTTGGTCCCTTTTTTCGCCTTTATTTTACAGAATTTACTTGAGGATATGGTATACTTTTTATTTTCATGGTGTATAACATAGTATTTCTGATTAAAATTTTGTACAATCATTATTAATTACTTTGAGAATCAAGAAATAAAAGCCAATTTTCAACACCTACCGCACATACAAATTCTGGAACATTTTTTTCGGACAGAGTACGGTTTTTCTATTATATACACATGGGCGGAAACATTTAAATTAGGTACTATATAAAGTAAGACATAGTGAGCGTTAGCGTGAGATAAGAAATAATTAACAATGTAGTAGGGGTTAGAATAATGTTCAATAAGCTTGAATTTTATTTTGCACTATTCGTATTCTTCTTAATTTGGCGCGGGTTAGGGATCTTCTGTTTGTTCTTGAGGTATTTTTGGTCGGAAAATCCCCTAATCACTTCTAATTTTTAAATTGCATCTATCAAATATATTAACCACTATACTTATTTTCTTCCATATGACAATTTAAAAAGTACAAGCGATCGAATAATAAATTACCGTAAATACACACAGAAATACACTTCCTTTCCTTTGAAAAGGGTGGCTGAGAAAAAATAAACAATAAACCTGAACAGAAGTTTGATAGATTAAAGCAAAATAAAGAGTAAACTCTTCCAAACTTGAAAAAAATTTATTATGTAGGAGTGGGCATAAAACTATTACTCATTTTTATTAGAAAAATAAAACAACAATTTCAGTGTGCGTTTATTCATATTGTACCAGCCTAAAGGCGCAAGAAAGGTGTTTTTTTGGGGGGGGGGGGGGGGAGAGAGAACTAAAGATTTGTCTCTGAAAAGAAGGGGTCACCCCTGCCCCTGATACTACATGCCTGACATGTATAATATTAATTTCGCTCTTAATTCCGCAATGAATATTCCGATTTACTTATAGATTCTTGTTTAAAATATACATGGCATGTACAAATCGCGTAATATACATTTGTATAATCACTTCAACAACAGTTGTTGAAACATAATTATTATACTTATAACAGGATTCTTAATAGTAAATATCACAAGACTAGTAAATGAAATTCAAACTCAATATTCATCTAGTTCGTTGCATTAATACATTCGAAGTTTTTCCGAGTTTATATGCACCCCAAAACGTGACAAAAGTGTAAGGTTTCTTTGAATATTGAAGTGGTCAGTACAGTGCATTTGTTTTTATAGACTGATTAAATGTTGTAACGTCTTTGGTATTTTTGCTTGATTGTTTATTTTTTGCAAGAAATTGATTAAGTGTGTATTTATATTCATCTACTCGTACATTATTGTGTTGTTCGCAGTGACCAGGAAAATTGCGATTACATGTATGAGAATTAAAATATGTCCATGAAAATCACCATTTGAAATTTGAAGTCAATCTCATTGATTTTTATAATTAATTAGATTGTGCATGAAATAAACTTACAATTAGCTCTTTTGCTCAGGTGAGCCACAAAGAGTTTGTAGCTAAAAAGCATATAGAAAAAGAGTTATTATATACGTAGTTATTCATGTATAGCATAAAGAAAAAGACTTTACAAGTGATTATAACCGAGAGAAATAAAATTTATTGTAACATAGAAGTTAAAGTACCTACAGCAATGTGATTATTATTTCAGATGGCTGAAGACTTTGTAAAGATATGTCAGATCCAGAAAAAAGGAAGGGGGAGCCTATCCCATTAAATTCAATTCAAGGTAAATATTTACATTAACAAATATTTTTCCTGAAGATTCTTTGTAAATTAGAAAAAAAAATCTCATGTTTTTATAAACTGTAATGGAATGAGTGTGAATTTGTGACAGTAACTGAAGTAAAAAAAAATTATTGCAAGCCTTTTTCATAAATGATTGTTGAATGAACAAGATGTGTTTGTGAAACACTGATGCCCCCATATGGCAACATAGCAAAGATTAAAATTTTCTTCAATGCAAATATGATATATTGGTACCAAAAGTAGGGTAATCTCACCGGAAATACAATTGTGAAATATGAAAGTTTTTTCACAAGTAAAGAATTCTTCAATGTCTAGGTCATTGATATCCAATGAAAGGTCTCGCCACAAAAAAATACATATTTAAAGTATGGAAGCTCTAGCCATTACCATTCAGAAGTTATGGCCAAGGTTAAAATTTTAAAAAGTAGTTCAAACTCCAAGGTCAAGGTTGAAGGTCTTGGTATCAAATAAAAGGTCTTGTCACAAGGATTAAATATGAAAAGTATGAAAGCACTAGCTCTAACCCTTAAAGGAATGGTCAAGGTCAAACTCCAAGGTCAAAGGGTCAAAGTTCTTGGTATCCATTGGAGGGTCTTCTCATAAGGATTACATAAGTGAAGTATGAGATCACTAGCCCTTAGCCTTCAAAAGTTATGGCCAAGATTAAAGTTTTTTCATAAGTACAAAGGATCCAAGGCCAAGGTCAAAAGGTCAAGGTAATTGGTTTTCAATGAAAGGTCTTGCCACATTGAATAGAAATGTAAAGTATGGAAGCCCTTGCCCTTACCGTTCAGAAGTTATAGCCAACGTTTATTTTTTTTTAAAAAAAAACATGTCAAATTCCAAGGTCAAAAGGTCAAAAGTCTTGCTATCAAATGAAAGGCTTTGTCACAAGGATTAAATATGTAAAATATGAAAGCATTAGCCATAACCCTTGAAAAGTTTTGGTCAAGATTTGCTTTTTTAAAAGTAAGTCAAACTCCAAGGTCAAGGTCAAAGTTCTTGGTATCCAATGAAGGGTCTTTTCACAAGGATTACATATGTGAAGTATAAAAACCCTACCCCTTACCGTTTAAAAGTTATGGCTAAGGTTAAAGTTTTTTCACAAGTATAAAAATCTCCAAGGTCAAGGTCAAAAGGTCAAAGTTGTTGGTATCCAATGAAAGGTCTTCAAACAAAGAATACATATATGAAGTATAAATGGCCTGGTTACTACTGTTCAAAAGATATGGCCAAAGTAAAAGTTTGAAAGTTTTGTGTTGAAGTGGGTCAAACTCCAAGGTCAAAAGGTCACATTTGGTGGTCCCCAAGGAAAGGTCTTGTCACAAGGAATACACATGTGAAATATGAAAATCATAGCTCCACTAAATCGAAAGTTATGGGCAAGGTTAGTTTTGCAGACAAACAGAGAGACAGACAGACAGACATGACAAAAACTATATACCCCCGAAACTTCGTTTACGGGGGCATGAAAATTATGTGTCAAGTCACCCGAAAAAAGAATGCAATTTTAAGAAATGAGTTAAATTTTGGAAAATTCATGAGGTACATGAACTACCTAATACAGCTGCATTTTTATCACTACAGTGCCGTGCCATAAGTGTTTCACGTTTTCATGATGTTGCAAATTCTAAACGCATTATCTTTAGGTAAAATAAAGTTTACTTACTAAAATACCACTGAATATGATACCTTGAAACTGTCAATACTTTGTAGCATGACCCTTGGCTTTTAGAACAGCTTGTATTCGTCTAGGTATGGTTCCGTAGAGACACTGTATATAGCCTGGAGTCAACGAATCCCAGATCCGCAACACAGCATTTACAAGTTCTTGTTTGGATTTAATCTGATGTTGCTCTCGCCCAAGTCTGAATTTTATCATTCTCCAGACATTTTCTATCACGTTAATATCAGGAGATTGCGATGGCCAGTCTAAATACGGAATATTATTGTCATTTTTCCAATTTTTAGCCCGTTCAGACATGTGACATGGGCAATTGTCATCTTGAAAAATCCAAGGAGAATTACCAAAATGTTTCGAGATAACTTGCCATAAATGATTGTCCAATATATTTATATACTTCTCTGTATTTAAATTACCATCAATGGGGGTTAGGGTACCAACGCCAGAGTAGGAAATACAGCCCCAAAATGAGACGGTGATACGGACTCCGCCATTTCGCACTGAACGCAGTCCTAAACACTCGGGCCTCCACTTTTCATCTGCTTTCCTCCAAACGTACACACGTTGATCAGACCCAAGAACAACTTGCGTTTCATCAGAAAATATTATATTTTTCCACTGATTATCTACAGTCCAATTTCTATGGTTTTTTACACCAATCAATTCGTCTTTTTCTGTTGACAGCTGATATTGTGAGGGTTTTCGCTACTTTATGTCGTGTATAACTCAACAAATGTAATTTTCTCTGGACAGACCGTTTAGAAACTGGACGAGGCACAGAACGATTAAATTCTTCTGTTAAATCTCCTAAATTTTGCCTACGATCTCGAAGAACTAACCTTTTCAAAATCCGTTCGGACTGGACACTCATGTTTTTGGGTCGTCCGCTTCGTGGGTCATTTTCGATACTTTTCCGTGTTGCATAACGTTTCAAAAACTTCGATATGGTAGATCGATCGTATCAAGTTATTTGTGCTATTTCAACTTTTTTCTTACCCTCATTATCTAAACGTAGTATGTGTTGTTTTAGAGCACTTGTCATTTCTCGGCAATTTGGAGCCATGTTTTGTTTACGTCTGCTACTGTTCTAAAAATAGACCCGCGTGCGTAGGGGAACTCCTGTGTGACATAGATAAGCTAAATATACTATCTAAATTTAGTCGGGATTGACAAAGTATTTACAGAAATATTTACAAGAATGCAACTATGAAATATTTTTTCAATAAAAGCGGGAATAAAAACGTGAAACACTTATGGCACTGCACTGTATGTGTTGTATTTTAATTCTTCATGAATTCTAAAAAATTAAATTCATTTCTTAAATAAAAACTGACACATCTTTCTATAAATCAGTGACACTACTGATATTTGAATACTATTGCTAAAGACTAGAGAATTTCCCTACTACATGTGCAATGTTAGATAATGCATTTCAATTCTTTGGAAAATTTACCAAATTTTAATGTTGAAAATTACTTTTTGAGTGGATGATCCTTAGGGTTTAAGGCATTATTCCTTGGTAAGGACAACACTTGTTTTAACTCTTGGCATTGGAGATTGACATACTTTTACAAAACTTGGTAAGGAGCAATACATTTTATATATACATTTACTTATCGTGTTCATCATGTAGATGAAAGAAGTAGGGCATTGGTGAAGGATCCTTCCAAACGGCAGAGGAAAACACAGCCACCCCAGACGTCACACAAACGACGAAAAACAGATACTGAGCTAGGAGAACCTGGAACCTCCAACAGGGAAAACTTCACAGAAATAAAGTCAAGCTCTGCAGGTATATAGGTGTTCTGATGGTAAAAAGAGTACCATGATATAAAATATTGTTTGAATGCAGAGCAAGTTGCAGTACTTATGCATAAATCTGCATAGCCCACCCCAACCCTCACCAAATGGAAGAGTACAACAAAAAATTAACCAGGTTTCACGAAATTTTGTCTTGAAACATAATTTCAGTAATATCTGCAGAGTAAATTTCTACAGACTTGTGTTCTGAAGATTTCCATTGAAAATGTACCAAAAAATCTACATTACCATTCACACACAGTTATTTCAATGTGATATTAGGAAAACTGTTATTTAGGTGACCAATTGTTGCTTTTTGCTGTCAGTCATCATACATAAACTTTTCACATTTTCAAGTACTTTTCTCTTAGTGCTGGGCCAATTTAAATAAAATAGCCATCAAGTATCTTGAGATGATGGGGATTCATATGGTGTCATCATTATGAAGTACAGAGTCCATTATATACAATGTAGTAAGGAAGAATTAACCACTCCAAGACAATTACGTACTCAAATGTTATAAAAGAAATATTCTTAATATGATAAAATTAAAATATAAATTCAAGTCATTGCTGTTTTATTTGGGCTAGATGGAGACTCCCTCTTAATATGCTTCAGTTAAAAAGAGGTTAGGAAATTATCTTTTAATTTTGTTCAAAACAATCTTTAATTCATTAGCTCTCCAGAGGAGAAAGCTCAAGTGAGGTTTTTTTTATGATCACATTTTGTCTGGCATCCACCCCCTTCTGTGTGTAAACTTTGAACATTTTTGACTTTTTCTCCAGAACCACTGGGTCTTTTCAACCATAACTGCTGCAAAGCGTCCTTGAGTGAATTGGCCCACACCCTCATTCATGGGGAGATAATTAAGAGTTTAGTAGAATAAAATTTGATTTTCTTGTAAAAATCTTATTTTCAAGAACCACTAGGCCAGAAGATATAAAACTTGTCTAAAAAGTTTATTATATAGTTGAGATTTAACTTGTTCAAATCATAATCCTTAAGAGTGGGGTTGTCCCATAATGGGTGATCAAAGTTCTCCATAGAATTTAAATTGGGAGGGGTGTGTGTTAAAAAATCTTCTTAAGAACAGAAAAGCCGTGATAAATCATATTTTATGGAAGCATCCTCAAGCAGTGTCGATTCAAATCATGACATTTAGTGATAGAATGAGGCCAAGGTATGTGATATTTAACAGGAATATATAGGTTATAGGAAAACTGCTATTATAAAACAGATAGGCCATTGTGATTCAGGTGAGTGGTGTGTCCCATGGGCCTAGTTTAATCTTATCCTTATATACAAATATTCATTAAGACCTATGGTAATTAAAGTGATTGCATGGATTTATTTTGAAGTTGTTGAGACATACAATAATGGCAGGGGTAAGTGTTAAAAATCATCACCACATCCATCACTTTGCCTTCTTGATTTAATCTTAGGCCTAGAAAAAATATATGTTTGTTTCCGCTTTCCCGACCGACCCTAATTTATAGTGCCGACCCTAAAAATTATTTTAATGCTTTTGTCCCATGAAGTGCAAGATTTCACCCAGGCAATTATAGTCTCCAACTTTGCAAGCTTTTCAAGACAGAAAGAAGTTTGAGTCACCTTTCTATTATAAGTTTAAGTCACAGAAATGCTTGAAAACACCATTTCTTTTGTCATTAATGTTACTTCTATATACGTTTTGATTGAAGAAGACATTAGAAGTAAAAAAAAAATTTCAAAAAAAAAAAATTGTCTACCTACCTACCCTATATTTTTTCAACCTGAAAGCGGAAACAAACTATTTTTTTTTCTAGGCCTTATATAATCACTGCTAAATCCTGCTCTTCTGTCTCCTGGGGCCCGTTTTACAAAAGGACTTACGACTTGAGACCAAATTTAATTCTTCATATATCTTTTTAATTGACATTACATCGAAAATATTTTTAAAACTTTTAAAAAGAATGTTGTAAGATATTTTTACACAAACAATTTCAGAGAGAAATATTAAATAAATTTTGCAAAATTTTACAATCACATGAAGTTTTTGGTCTTAGTCGTAAGTTCTTTTGTAAAACGGGCCCCTGAACTGTATAATATCCTACACCTGTTACTCCAGATGTATTACTACTATATAGTGTAAAGTACTGTAAACTTAGATCCTCTAGAATTTTTATTCTCTCAAGAATGAATTTTGTGTCTGTGGTCCTGTTTTATTTATAACTACACAAAAAAACTGTGCCCTGTTTTAAAAAAGAACTTCTGAGTATGAGACCAAAAATACAGTGGACCCTTTTTTCCGGACGCTTTGGTTCCCAGTCAATTTGTCCGGAAATGTAATTTCCGGATATCTGAATCACAAATTAAACAAGACAAAGTAACATTTAAAAATTTCGTTCCGATGAAAAATCGTCCGAATACTGAAGCATCCGGATATCTGGCGTCCGGATATCTGAAGGTCCACTGTAATTCTGCACTTTGTATTTTCCTGAATTTTGAAATGATTTTAACCTTTTTAAAATGAGTTTAAAAAGATATATTTTTATGCTAACAATCTTGACCATAATTATTAATTTTGCAAGATTTTAAAATCAACTAAATTCTTTAGTCTTATTCATATTTGTATGTTACGTGTATTTAAAAAATGTTGAAATCTTAAAAATCTTCTCAAGAGCAGCAAGGACTTTCTGTAATTGGTCATATTTATATGGAAGCATCCTCAGGTAGTGTTAATTTAAATTTATTCAAATCATGACCCCCTGGGGTAGGGCTGGGTCACTAGGGACAATCAAAGTTTTACATAGAAATACATGGGAATTTCTTAAAAAAACATTGGAAAAAACATTTTTTCCAAAACCACCGGGAAAGGAAAAATTGAAACTTGTGGTAGCATCCTAAGATTGTCTGGATTTGATTTTTTTTTCAAATCATGGCACCCTGGGGGTGAAATGAGGCCACAATGAAAAATCAACTTTTCCATAGGAATAATTATACCCCCCGCAAACGAAGTTTGGGGGGGGTATATAGGAATCACCTTGTCCGTCTTTTTAAAAATAACTTTTTAACAACAGCTGTCCATCTGATTGGTTAATCGTTCCGGTCCATATCTTTTTACAGAGTGTGACATTCAAGTTTGTTACTACTCCACACTAAGATTGCTCATGACCTAAGGGTGTGTCATGACCTTGACCCAAGGTCATTTGGGCATAAGTTCAAGGTCACTGGAAGAAAAATTTCATAATTACGGTCCTTGTCTTTCTATATACTTGTTAGGTTTTTATTTCACACAAAGATTGCTCATGACCCAAGGATGTGTCATGACCTTGACCCAAGGTCATTTGGGGAAGTTCAAGGTCACTGGAAGAAATATTCATAATTCGTGTATACCGCATATTTTTCTTATGGATAAACTTGGTAGGTTTTCATTTCACACAAAGATTGCCCATGACCCAAGGGTGTGTCATGACCTTGACCCAAGGTCATTTGGAGAAGTTCAAGGTCACTGGAAGAAAAATTTTATAATTCGTGTCCGGTCCATATCTTTCTTATGGATAAACTTGGTAGGTTCTCATTTCACTGAAAGATTGCACATGACCCAATGGTGTGTCATGACCTAAACCCAAGGTCATTTGGGAAAGTTCAAGGTCACTGGAATAAAAATTTCATAATTCAAGTCCGGTCCATATCTTTCTTATGGATAAACTTGGTAGGTTCTCATTTCACTGAAAGATTGCACATGACCCAAGGGTGTGTCATGACCTTGACCCACGGTTATTTGGGGAAATGCAATACTATAGAAAAATTTCAAAAGTTTTTGATATATCTTTTTTATGAAAAAAGCCATCGCGATCGGTACTTTTGAAAAACCCAGCGGGGGTATTTTGTCCCGTATGGACAGTTCTAGTTAAAAAATTCTTTTTACAACTGCAGAGCCATTGTTTGGTTAATTTATATGGAAGCCAATTTAGGTAGTGTAGATTCAAGTTTGTTCAAATTATGAGGCCTTGGATAGGTGAGGGCCAGAAGGGCCACAAGAGAATATGAAGCATACAGGGAAAAAAACAAAATTGTTTTCATTTTTTTAAAGCCATGATTTGTCAAAGAAATATGGTAACATACTCAATTAATGTAAATTCAAGTTCAAATCATCCTCCCATTTGAGATAGGAGAACTAGCCAACATGCTCAGGTGAGAGATTTGGCCCATGGGCCTTTTGTTTTGTAACAGAGAACCATGGAAAGCTAATACTTGCTATCAAGATTGTTAAAGACCAAGGAATGTGCACTCATCTTGACCCGAGTCATTTTGGCAAGTTCAAATGTGGTAGTGTAAGATACATGGCATCCTACTAGCTTGGGCTAGTGGGTTAACCCTTTAGCTCAATTGGTAGAGCACTGGACTGGCATGTCAAAGGTCCCAAGTTCAATCCCCGGCATAGGCAATAAATTGTCTCTGTTACATTTGGCGCCCACGTTAGGACCCGGGTGTTCTCTGGCAGGTGAAAGTGATTGCCCCCAGAACTTAGCCCCACAGGCATCGGCACTCCGAAAGAGATGAGGACATCTCATTATCTGGAGGGGGACAATGTGGTAGTGTAAGATACATGGCATCCTACTTGCCTGGGCTAGTGGGTTAACCCTTTAGCTCAATTGGTAGAGCACTTATTCATGAGAGATGAGAAATAGTGAAAATTTTATGCAGAGGTTTTAAAATGTCTCTGTTACACAAAGTCACTAGCATATAAAAAATATAGAATTCTTGTTTGGGCTTATACATTGTGATGGAAGGAATGTGTATAATTTGAGGTTGTGCCAAGATCAATTCAGCCAGTTCAATTTAATTGTAAAAAAAAAAGTAGAAAAATTGTTTAGGTGATTACTCTGTAGTGGAAAATCATTTGAAGCTAATATTTTGCAAAAAAATTGATAACGTCCTAAGAAAGAATGTGTGATGTCTTTCACCCAAGGTCATTCTGGTGAGTTAAAGTTACTAAAAAGAAAAGTAGAAAAGACTTTTCTGGGATATAGGTTTGTATTGGAGAGTCATTAAAACCGCATACTTATTTCAAAGATGGTTTATGGCCAATACGGCTTGACTGTATACTGTGACCTTCATTTAAAATAATGAAAACAAAAATTGAAGAAAATTACAAAATTCATGGCTGATTTACAATTTTCTAGTGGAGGTGCATTGGATGTCCATATTTCATTTAAAGATGATTTATCACCTGAAGATTTGTCTTAATTTGATCTAAGGTCATTTAGGCAAGTTCAAGGTCACATTTGCAAAATTGCATTAGAGGCATTATTTTTTTTTTTTTTGTTAGCTTGCTCTTAATATCTTTAGGTATCTTTTAGTAGAATAGTAGAATACAACATAAAAAAAACAAAGCCTTACTACACTGTATCTTAGAAGGAATTCATCATACGAAAGGAGATAACCTTTTGTGTTGGAAGACATGACATTTCATATAGCAGCTAGTGGTTTAATGTTTGTACTTGTATGCTTACTAATTTGTACGTCTACTTTTCAAATTCAGACAACGCAAAGAGACACAAACTTGAGATGGGCAATCAGGAGTCAGGAATTAAAGTTCCTAGAATGGACGAAGATTGTAAAGCAGGTGGGTTTGATCCTTTGGAATAAAATAAGTGTAAATCATATATCCTGGATTTATGAAGTAGTGATTCATTTGTAGCTCTACCAATAAAAGACAAAAGGCTAATAGGGAGGTAAATTGTCCCTAGCTCATCTGTCTTTCTAGCTGTCCATGGAAAACATCTCTCATTCTACCAACAGAGTTTAGGTCACTGAAAATTAGTACACTTAATACACTTAGTACATACCTATTTTAGGGATGAGTTTTTTAAGCCCTGTCATTGATGTTTTGAGGCAATTTGCCTGTTTGTCTCCAAAAAATTGAACCTATCTCATAACATTTTTAGCTCACCTGAGCCGAAGGCTCAAGTGAGCTTTTCTGATCAAAATTTGTCCGTTGTCTGTCGTCATTGTTGTTGTCGTCGTTAACTTTTCACATTTTCGACTTGTTCTCAAGAACCACTGGGCCAATTTCAACCAAACTTGGCACAAAGTATCCTTAGGTGAAGGGGATTCAAATTTGTTCAAATGAAGGGCCACGCCCTTATTCAAGGGGAGATAATTAAGAAATAATGAAAATTTGATGGTATGTTTTAAAAATCTTCTTGTCAAGAACCAATGTGCCAGGAAAGATGAAACCTATAGGGAAGCATCCTCAGGTAGTGTAGACTCAAATTTGTTCACATCATGACCCCCTGGGGGTAGGGCGGGGCCACAATGGCCGATCAAAGTTTTACATAGAAATATATAGGAAAATTCTTTAAAAATCTTCTTATCAATAACCACTGTGCCAGGAAAGATGAAACTTATATGAAAGGATCCTCAGGTCATGTAGATTCAAGTTTATTCAAATCATGACCCCCGGGGGTAGGGTGGGGCCACAATGACCAATCAAAGTTTTACAGAGAAATATATAGGAAATTTCTCTAAAAATCTTCTCAAGAACCACTGCGCCAGGAAAGATGAAACTTATACGGAAGCATCCTCAGGTAGTGTAGATTCAAATTTGTTCAAATCATGACCCCCTGGGGGTAGGACGGAGCCACAATGGCCGATCAAAGTTTTACATAGAAATATATAGGAAAATTTTTTAAAATCTTCTTCTCAATAATAGCTGAGGCATGAATGATCATACATGTATTTATATGGAAGCATCCTCTGGTAGTGGACATTCAATTTTGTTCAATTTATGATCCCTAGGGGTAGGGCGGGGCCACAATATGGAATCCAAGTTTTAAATAGAAATCTTTAAAATTCTTCTTTTCAAGAATAGCCATGATTAGTCCTGTTCATATGGAAGCATTCTCAGGTAGTGTAGATTCAATTTTGTTCAACTCATGACCCCTGGGGGCAAAGGGCGGGGCCAATGTAAGTTCAAATGTAAAGGGCAATAAAGCCACAGGTAGTCTAACAAATATGCAAGCATCCTTAGTTAGTGAAGATTCAAGTTTGTTCAAATCATACCCTCTCCCTTTTAAGGATTGGTTGGGACCACTATTGGGTTAAAACTTTTCAATAACCAAGCCACATTGCTCAGGTGAGCAATGTGGCCCATGGACTTCTTGTTATTTGTTAGTGCTGGGTCTTTCATATTTCCTCTGTATACTTCTTGTGAAAAGACCTCTTTTGGTACCCTTGATCATATTTAACCTCTTGACCTTGTAATTTGATCTACTGTAGCAAAATAAAAAGCCTACAACCTTTCCCATAACATTTTCTTAATTTGAGAAGCAACATTTATGTTTAATATGTACATGTCTTGTGACCTGACCTTGCATGAGGCACTTGCACTTCACCTTTTGACCTTGAACTTGGCAACTTATTTTGTAGAGGACAGTGGGAGCGACTATGAAGGTCTGCAGGATCCTCCCGTGCGACGTCAGTTACAGAACATCCTCCGACAATATCCTGATGGACCCCAGATCATCAGGGTAAGTTACAGAACATTCTCCGACAATGTCTTGACAGACCCCAGATCATCAGGGTAAGTTACAGAACGGACCCCAGATCATCAAGGCAAGTTACAGATGGACCTCAGATCATCAGGGTAAGTTACAGAACATCCTTTAACCATATCCTGACTGACCCCAGATCATCAGGGTATGTTACAGAACAGACCCCAGATCATCAGGGTAAGTTACTAGTACAGAACAGACCCCAGATCATCAGGGTAAGTTACAGAACATCCTCAGACAGTATCCTGACAGACCCTAGATCACCAGGGTAAGTTACAGAACATTCTACAACAATATCTTGACGGACCCCAGATCATCAGGGTAAGTTACAGAACATCCTCTGACAGTATCCTAACAGACCCCAGATCACCAGGGTAAGTTACAGAACATTCTACGACAATATCTTGACGGACCCCAGATCATCAGGGTAAGTTACAGAACAGACCCCAGATCATCAGGGTAAGTTACAGAACGAACCCCAGATCATCAGGGTAAGTTAAAGAACAGACCCCAGATCATCAGGGTAAGTTACAGAACATCCACTGACAGTATCCTGACAGACCCCAGATCATCAGGGTAAGTTACAGAACAGACCCCAGATCATCAGGGTAAGTTAAAGAACAGACCCCAGATCATCAGGGTAAGTTACAGAATGGACCCCAGATCATCAGGGTAAGTTACAGAATGGACCCCAGATCATCAGGGTAAGTTACAGAATGGACCCCAGATCATCAGGGTAAGTTACAGAATGGACCCCAGATCATCAGGGTAAGTTACAGAATGGACCCCAGATCATCAGGGTAAGTTACAAAACGGACCCTAGATCATCAGGGTAAGTTACTAAATGGACCCCAGATCATCAGGGTAAGTTACAGAACATCCTTTAACCATATCCTGATTGACCCCAGATCATCAAGGTCACTCAGAGTGTCCATCAGTAAAATGTCACTGTATGTAAATTTTAACAAGTAACTCTAATAGAATAATCTGTTTCTATGTTTTGTTCCCTGACAGGAGCTGGTACAGAACGCTGAAGATGCTAAAGCCAGTACTTTCAAGGTTATGACATGTATGGAGGATAATTTAGGGGATGGAGATTTTGACTCCAAATACAAAAAAATCTTCCAGGTAAACAAAATTTTAAACACAAATATATGAATGATCAAAGGTGAAAATAAAATCTTACAGTTTATTTCATTAATTGAGCTTTTCTTTTCGTCTGTCATTCAACAAGAAATAAAAATAAACTGATGATGAAGATGATGTGAAATCATCCATTTTCCAATTGCTTTTAGGGACCAGCTCTATGTGCATTCAATGATCGCGTTTTTACTGAAAATGACTGGAAAGGCATCAAAACAATTTATGTCAGCGTGAAAGAAAAAGATGACACCTTTAAGATTGGGCGATTTGGACTTGGGTTCAAATCAGTTTTCCATCTCACAGGTACGCATTGAAATTTTGTCCCCACAACAATGTTAAGGATGGGGAGTCCATTTATGCTGGAATTCCTTTGTCTATCTGACAGTCTATTCCTCCAGTTATTTGTCTGTGGAGGCAAGGTTAAAAGCAGGTTTTATGAACATTAAAGGCATTTTTTAGCTCTTCTGAGCCAAAGGCTCAAAGAGCTAATGCTATGGCCATTTGTGCGGTGTGCATCAACTTTTTAGAATATGGGGTATAACTAAAGAACCCCTTGGCTAATCAGTACCAAATTTGTCACAGGGTATCCTTGGCCCAAGGGCTACCATTTATACTAAGTTGGGACCCTTAAGCAAGGGGAGATAATCAGGAAAACAAAACCAAAAGTACTGGTTGCTAAAAAATCTTCTTCTCCATAATCACCAGGCAGATTTTCACCAAACGTACATACAAGGATCAGGATATGTCAAAGATTAAAATTTGCATGGGGAATTACCCTGGGGCAAAGGGCGTGGTCTCAAGGTCACTTCAAAGTTGACCTAAATTTACAATTGATAAAAACGTGTATATTTTGCTCACTATAAGGACTAGGATCATCAAATCTTGTAAGTTGATGCATCTTACGACTTAACATCATGTTAACTCAAAAGTAGGTCACGGTGACCTACTTTTTAAATTTTGCGAGGATTTGTTTTCAAATTTATTTGAGGGCATATTTTGGACACTTTAAGGCCTATGATCATCAAACTTTGTCAGTTGATGCAAACAATGTCAACTTAAAAGTAGGTCACCCTGACCTACTTTTTGCTCACCTGAGCCAAAGGCTCAAGTGAGCTTTTCTGATCACAATTTGTCCGTTGTCTGTTGTCGTCGTTGTTGTAAACTTTTCACATTTTCATCTTCTTCTCAAGAACTGCTGGGCCAATTTCAACCAAACTTGCCACAAAGTATCCTTGGGTAAAGGGGATTTGAGTTTGTTCAAATGAAGGGCCTCGCCCTCATTCAAGGGGAGATAATTGGGAATTAATGAAAATTTGGTGGTATGTTATAAAAATCTTCCTCTCAAGAACCACTGTGCCAGGAAAGATGTAACTTATGGGGAAACATCCTCACGTAGTGTAGATTCAAGTTTGTTCAAATCATGACCCCCCGGGGGTAGGGCGGGGCCACAATGGCCGACTTAAGTTTTACATAGAAATATATAGGAAAATTCTTTAAAAATCTTCTCAAGAACCACTGGGCTAGGAAAGATGAAACTTATGGGGAAACATCCTCAGGTAGTGTAGATTGAAGTTTGTTCAAATCATGACCCCTGGGGGTAGGGCGGGGCCACAATGCCCGACAAAAGAATTACATAGAGATATATAGGAAAATTCTTTAAAAATCTTCTTCTCAAGAATAACAAAGCCATAATTGATCATATTCATATGGAAGCATCCTCAGGTAGTGTAGATTCAAGTTTGTTCAAATCATGACCCCCGGGGGTAGGGCGGGGCCATAATGGCCGACCAAAGTTTTACATAGAGATATATAGGAAAATTCTTTAAAAATCTTCTTCTCAAGAATATCAAAGCCATAACTGATCATATTTATGTGGAAGCATCTTTAGGTAGTGTAGATTTAAGTTTGTTCAAATCATGACCCCCGGGGGGTAGGGCAGGGCCACAATGGCCGACCAAATTTTTACATAGAAATATATATAGGAAAATTCTTTCAAAATCTTCTTCTCAAGAATAACAAAGCCATGATTGGTCACTGGACTACTTCTGGATTTAGACTATTTAATTATAAACCAATTTCTACTTTTTCCTAGCCACAGTGCTCAGGTGAGCGATGTGGCCCATGGGCCTCTTGTTGAACTTTATGACTTATCCTTTTAAAAACATTAAATCCCATTATTTCAGACACTGGGAGGTTTAGAATCATCAAATCTTGTACTTTGATGCATCTTGGGACCTTAAAACATACTTATGATAAAGTAGGTCACTGTGACCTACTTTTTGAATTTTGCTGACATTTGTTTTCAAATTGTTTAAAATGCATCTTTTGATTACCTTCAGACCTACGATCATCAAACTTGGTCAGTAGATGCATCTTGGGTCTTTGAAAAATGTCAACCAAAACGTTGGTCACGATGACCTACTTTCGACATTTTATGGCTATATTTAAGTATCTTAGGTATTTATTGGCTTAGAATCATCAAACTTTGTGAGTTGATGCATCTTGGGTTTTCGGAGAGTGACGACCTACTTTTGACATTTTATGGCTTTATTTATGTATCTCTGGTACTTATTGACCTAAAATCATCAAACTTTGTCAGTTGTGTCACCTTGGGTTTTCAGAGAACGTCGACCAAAAAGTAGGTCACATTGACCTACTTTTGACATTTTATGGCTATATTTAAGTATCTCAGGCACTTATTGGCTAAGAATCATCAAACTTTGTCAGTTGAGGCATCTTGGGTTTTCAGAGAATTCTTCAGCCAAAAAGTAGGTCACAGTGACCTACTTTTGAATATCTCAGGTACGTATTAGCTTAGAATCATCAAACTTTGTCAGTTTAGGCACCTTGGGTTTTCTGAGAACTTCGACCAAAATGTTGGTCACTGTGATCTACTTTTGACATTTTATGGCTATATTTAATTATATAGTATCTGGTACTTATTGGCTTGGAATTATCAAACTTTGTCAGTTGAGGCATCTTAGGGTTTCATTGAATGTCCAACAAGAAGTACGTCACGGTGACCTAATTTTGAATATCTCAGGTACTTGTTGGCTTAGAATCATCAAATTTTTTCAGTTAGGCATCTTGGGTTTTCGGAGAATGTCGACCAAAAAGTAGGTCACAGTGACCTTCTTTTGAATATCTCAGGTATTTATTGGCTTAGAATCATCAAATTTTGTCAGTTTAGGCATTATGGGTTTTTGAATAATGTCGACCAAAAAGTAGGTCACCGTGACCTACTTTTGACATTTGATGGCTATATTTAATTATCTCTGATACTAATTGGTTTAGAATCGTCAAACTTTGTCAGATGATGCATCTTGGGTTTTCAGAGAATGTTGACCAAAAAGTAGGTCATGGTGACCTACTTTTGAATATCTCAGGTACTAATTAATTAGAATCATCAGTCTTTGTCAATTAATGTATCTTGAGTCCTCAGAAAATTTCAATCAAAAGGTAGGTCACTGTGACCTACTTATGGTATTTTATAATTATATTATAATAGAGTCCTTAGAAAATTTCAATCAAAAGGTAGGTCACTGTGACCTACTTATGGTATTTTATGATTATATTATAATATCTTCAGTCTTAACTGGCTAAATATTATCAAACTTTGTAAGTTGATGCATTTTGGGTCTTATTATACTAATAGAGTAGGAGGCTTCTAATAGAAGTGATAGATCGTACAATTTATCAGAAGAGCGATTCTAGGCCCTCTTGTTATAATATTATACCACGGTTTTGAAGGAGATGGGGGTATACTGTTTTACCATTGTGTGTCCGTCTGTCTGTCCTGTCTAGCTGTCTGTAACAAATTTTCGTCGCAGTTTTCTCAGCAACTAATCCTTACAGATGCTTGAAATTTTAAAACAATCTTCTCTGAGGCATGCCATATGATGGGATACATTTTTGTTAAAATCCAATGTCGACTTCCTGTTTGTCTTTGTGTCTGTACATTTCATACATAAAAAAATTCGTTGCAGTTTTCTCAGCGTTTACTCATCACATATGCTTGAAATTTTAACACAGTCTTTCCTAAGGCATGCCATATGGTGGGATACATTTTTAAAAAATCCTATATCTACTTCCTGTTTGTGGGTTTTTTTCATTTCATACATAAAATTTTTTCGTTGAAGTTTCTCGGCAACTACTCATCGCAGATGCTTGAAATTTTAACACAATCTTCTTAGGCATGCCATATGTTGGATATTCAACTTCCTGTTTGTCTTTCCATTTCATTCGTAACAAATTTTTGTCACATTTTTCTCATCAACTACTCATAACAGATGCTTGAAATTTTAGTGCACTCTTTCTTGGGGCATGCCATATGGTGGGATTAATTTTGATGTGAATCTGATGTCAACTTCCTATATTTCTGTGAATCTGCCTGTAAATGAGCTTGTATATATTAACGTGATAGTGTGTTTATTCACATTAGAGCAGGGGTATTACTAGAGAGCATTGGCCTACATACTTCTTATTTAGAACATTAATTGACACTACAAACTTGCAACCAGATGCTCAACCATAGCAAAAATTTTTGTTCTTTGCAGGAGGAATAAGAGAAAGTTCCATTTTCATTTTATTTTATATAAACTCGGGTAGCAGAATACAATTCTTTTTTACCCTGCGACAAGGCAATCATGCCCTAGCTAAATTATATTGATACCCCCCCCCCCCCCCGCAAACGAAGTTTAGGGGGGGTATATTGGAATCACCATGTCCGTCTGTCCGTCCATCTGTAGAGAAGATTTTGTCTGGACCATTACTCAGAAACTATTGGAAGGATTTGTCTGAAAATTTGTACACATATCATGCACCGTATGAAGTTGTGCATCTGATATTTTCATCTTGATTCGATTATTATTTTGAATTTTACAGGTGTTTTTTCATTTTTATTTTGTGGTTTTGTCCAGACCGTTTCTCAGAAACTATTGCAAGGATTAATCTGAAAATTTGTACACTTATTATTCACCATATGAAGGTGTGCACCTGGAATTTTCAACTCTTTTTATTCATTTTTTGGCATTTTACAGGTTTTATTTTTTATTTTAATTGACTTGTTCATTTTGGGCTCATGTATAAGGTTTGAGACATAGAATCTAGAATATCTGTACAAAAATACTACAGCTTAAAACTACTCATAAAAACTTTAAAAAAAGAAACATCATCAAGTGTTAAAAACAGTTCTTACATTGCACAGAAGATAATGTAATTTCATTTGTCTCTTGGGAATAATGACTGAACATGCATCCAGTTAAAGATAAATTAATGAGTTTGGTGTGAGAAGTTGAACATTAAGGCATCTCATTATCAATCATGTGTTATCTCCTGGGAATCGGGCACAAGAATTAAAGATCTCTCTTCTCTTATTCTCTTAATTGTAATTTATTGTCTGTCAAAGCACTTCATTACTTGATGACCAGCTCTTTATTTTCAAAATGAATTTGATATAAATTATTAAGTTATCAAGATTAATTTGATTTTGTATAATATGATTTTTTTTCAACAATCAGTTTGCAGAGGGACATAACACATACTTGCAATATATTTTTTTAATGCAGAAATAAAAAAATAAAATAAAAAAAATAATGTTACAATGGAATTACAATGTATTAGTATTGATGTTTCATTTGGTTGCACCTTTGTTTCATTCATTAAGAAACATGATAGCAATTATATTTCACTGCAAATTTTTGTAAGTAAATTGTGAACACCTCTAGATCCATAAGGTATTTTTGAATTGGCACCTTCTCTGAAAAACCCAGCGGGGGGTATTTGTCCCAATTGGACAGTTCTAGTTTTAGTTTAAGACATTAATAGAAGCTCTACTAAATAAACTCAAGAATATAGTGGAATACTCCTAACAAAAAAGTATACAAAAGTGATACTAAGTTGATTGGTAGGAATCCTTAGAATTTTTAAATGGCTCTTCAGGTTCTTAGTTTACTTGCTTTCATTCTTGCCTTTTTTTTTCACTGACATAGATACACCGGTCATCATAAGTGGTGATAGGCTCTTAATTATCGACCCAACCAGCAGGACAGAAAAAGTGTGTCACAATGTCACCTTCAAGAAGCTTACATCAAGGTACAAATTCACCCTGTGGCCAGTACTGAGGAAGGTCCTCAACTTGGACAATGGAGGCGTTTTTGGATTGGAAACATCTAATGTACAAGAAGGATATTTCCCAAGTAAGTAAAAAAAAAAACATTGTATTCCATAAATCCAAAAATACTATTTAAAAAATCTCTATAGTTGATAGAAGTTTTTATGTTGGAAATTTGTTCATCTATTAGCAGTGTGTGAACTTGTTTCTCATTAACCCTTTTCAATATGAACCATGCACATCATCAAATAGAGGGAATTTAAGTTTGTTGTTTTGAATTTCTTTACAGATACTTTGTTTTGGTTCCCCCTGAGAAGAGCACCATCCTCTCTCCTGGACAAGATTTACCTCCCCTCAAGAATGATGGAACTAATGGAATCATTCAGAAAAGAGGCAGACACAACCCTGCTGTTTCTTCGATACATCAATTCTATTACAATAATGGAAAACAGGGACAGTGTATTGTATGAAGTGACTATAGAGGGAACCGGTGCATCAGTAGACAACTTCTCTGACTTACGAGAATGCACAAGAGATTGGTTAAAGAACACAAGCACAAAACCAGAGGATTCCCAAAGTGTTGCATACAATGCCCTGGTCATCACAAAGGATGGAAAAGAGGGTTCAGGAAAGAAAGCCGAGTTCAAAATCGTCAATTTTTACCAAGGCACAAAAGAAATGTCACAGGATCTCAAAACCTTGTCAGAAGATGGAGATAATGCACCTTTTGTTGGCGTAGCTTATCCTCTACAGAAGGAGGAATCATTTTCTGCTCATGTGTTCTGTTTTCTGCCTTTGCCTTTTCAGTCCAGTAGTTTGACCAATCTACCTGTACATGTGAATGGGTTCTTTAACTTGGACCCAGCTCGAGATCACGTGCTACAAGCCACAGCAGGGCAGGTAGGCAAGAGAGACAAAAACATAGAATGGAATGAGCTGCTGATCAAAGAAGTGATATCTCAAGCGTACATAAAGCTGATTAAAGAACTCCTCAAGGAAGGGAATTCACGGGAGACGATCTACCGCTGCTTACCTGATGTACAGAGAGTGGACAATGATTTGTGGAAACTCCTCCTTCACCCTGTGCTAGAGAATGTCCTCAGAATGAACATCTTCCAGCCTGAGAAACAGGAGAAAACGTGGGTTAGTTATGAACAGGCTGTGTTTGATGTTTTTGTTGACAGAGAAAGAAAAATGGCAAAGAAAACAAAGGAAGTTGTGATTAAGGTGATCAAAAAATACGGTGAAAATTTGGTCAGATTGCCAGATCATTTGAAAATTTTAGTAGAGTCACATACAGAATACAGATTTCTACCTAAAATCCAGCCAAAGCTTATTAGGTCAGACTATATTGCCAATCTTCTGCTGAAAGGTAACCGGTATAAAGAGAAGAAGAGATACACCAAATTAGTACTTCTGGATTATTTCTTAGAATATAGTCATCAAGAAGTATGGAAACACCTGGAACTGTTGCCAACAAATGACAAGACCCACTTTGTGTCTCTAGCATCCACACTAACTCTGTATTTATGTTCAGAAACTGAAGCTGCTCTGTTTCCAGGGTTAGAGAGACAATTGTTATCTGACTTAAGAGAAGACATGGAAGAAAAATTGATGTCAATCCAAATTCCATCAAGTAAGTTATAACAAAGCATGCACATGTACTTCAATTAATTTTTTATCCTTAGTTATATTTTTAAAACTGCCAAAATCTCTTCTTCAAACTAAAACTTTTTCTAAAAGCAACATTTTTCTCTTTCTCTTTGTATTTTGTTTTTTTTTTACACATATTTGCACATACTTTATAGACTTTCTTTCTTTGGTTAGAGTTTTTAAAGAATATATGATACAGCCCTAATGTACATGTACTTCAATTAATTTTTTAAGATTTTTTCCAAAATCTCTTCCTTTTTTTAACATACTGCAAAGCATCAGTGGAAGCACAAGGAATTATGTCATCCACTCAACTTGACAACACAAATAGGCAAAAGGTTTCATCTTGGATCAAAAGGGTTTGGTCGTTTTTGTCTGAAAATCAAGGTCTACTACCAGAAGTTGAAACTCTTCCAATTCTTCCAGAATCAAGGAATGGAAAGTCAGCTATTCATAGCCTGCATTCTTTGAAGGGAGACTATATGCTTACACAGTCACATGGTTTGACTCCACTTCCTGTTGAGGT